AACATGCTCCAGCTGTTTACATAGGTCGGGTTTTGACCGTCGTATAGAGGTTCCCTAATTGAGTTGACTAATTGAGTTAATAAAAAAACAGAGGTGCGAGCACAAGGAGTGTGCGAACTTTTAAACACAGCGCGAAGTCAACAGTCGTTTTAATTGCTAACAGTACGGTAGCATAGGGTCTGCTGGCTTGCATGGATCAGTCAATGTTACTAAGAAAGTATACAGGGGCATACTGCACAAACGAAAAGCAGAAAGCCCAGACAGCTTTTACACAAACTAATAATTACAGTGACAATGATAATTTCAGCTTAATCATCACAGTTAGTTTATGCTTTCAATTTTCCGCGGTTTATGTTGCTTTCCTTTGTGTGCCTGCTTAACATAGATGATCCCGATAGTTTCCTGATTTAACTGTTTTTTTTCAGTATGGGTTCCTTGTAAACGTCATCGCAATTTCCAATGCATAAGCAACTACCTATTTTGTGGTGGCTGAGTTTTAGTTTAATTAAGCTGTTAGTTTAGTTCAGTTCAGTTTCAGTTAGTTAATGGATTAATTTATTGCTAGTTTGATTTGAGTTCAGTTCAGTCTTTAGTTTAGTTCATTTCAGTTTTAGTTTAACTAATTTTGGTTTAACTTCTGCAAGTATTCCCACGTTTAATTTGAAAAGTCTATTGGGCAAACATGCGTTTTTTAGCAGCTCTTCGTCATGCCAGTGAAAATTGTACAGTTCGACAGGCTTAATAAGTGTACTTTGCCTACGACTAATCGTTTTCATTCCTCCCGCATGGCGAGATCGGCGTCTAGAGGACCTTGTGCTTGAAGAGGGGGGGGGCGGGAAGGAACTTGGATAAGTTGTGGGCATTGGTCACTTGCATGGAGTGATAATTACTCTCATTTGCACGGAGGAAACGACTATCACTAGGGTGTGGGAGCGATGGGCAATCGCCACCTGGCGTCGGGGTCAGCCACGGGAATGAAAGTGCTTGTGTAAGGATCTTCTGACAACACAACCCTGGATTCGCTAGCCGTATAGCCACTGCTTCGGCTGCTGCAAGTACCCTTTGGAAAAGTTAGCTGGTGTCCGGTAGACGACCCGAAAGTCCTCATTAGTATCAACTCATATCGACAAGTTGTGTGAGAATAGAACTTAAGATCGACTTAGTTTCATTTTTACTTAACCAGGCCGTTATGCGCTCACGTGCCCTCTTTTACAGGCACCTCGTTGTTCGGCGGATGTATGCTGCTCCACAGGAATAAGTATAAGAGTAAATACACATGACTGTGGCCTTCAACAGGAGTCGATTTTTACCTCCCAATCGTAGGAGGGGAGAGTTCGTGAAGAACGCCCCTAAGTTCGCCGCGGGCAAGCGCTTGCGATCGCAGTCTTCTTTGAGGGCTTTTACGGGTATATCTACCTGGAAGTGCGTGTCCCGAATAACGTCACAAATGTAGTTTAGTGCTTCTACCACGTGTACATTAGTAAAAAGTGATGATACATCCAATAAGCGCATCTTACTTCCACCAACGTTCATATTATTTATAGCTCCGACGAACTCAAATGTGCCTTTTAAGCTTCAAGGATATAGATAACTTCCAAGTGGCTTCAGCTTTTCCACCAGCCATTTGGCAGTGGTGTGACAAGGAGAGTTTCTCGTATCCAAGAAAGAACGAGAAGGTATCCCTGTTTGTGAATTATCGGAAGGCCATACTTTCTGGGTATCGCCATTTCTACAGGTCTCAGTCTTTCAAACTCTTTGTCAGACAAAAGACCCTCTTTATGGAGGTCTTTGAGACCTGGAGTCAAGTGGTCGGAAGGAGAAGAAACGATCACTGGAACAAGAGGTTTATTCTCCTGATGTTTCGAATTCCCTCGGGAATCCTTAATCATAGGTAATAGAAGAACAGTCTGAGACATGCGCAGACCTGCCCAAGTCAACTGATCCTTGACGGCCTCTATCTGACCTTTGTCACTCTCGGATTTTATGAACTTTGCACGATCTGCTAAGGTAGCTTTTAGTTTCCCGACATAATCATTCTTATCCATCTGTACTATTCCGTTCCCCTTTTCTGGTCTGGTCAGCACCATGCTTTCATTTCTTCAAAGCTCCTTTGGGCTATCAAGATGGGCCCTTGTTAAGGGAACGTTTTTTGTTGGAGCCTTTCTTAAGTAATGCTGGCAACCATTAGACAGCGTTGACTTGAGATAACCAACTCCTCTAGGCTCGGTAGATTTTACAGATCAGCAGTCTGGCTAAAGAGGCTCACGAATTTGGGTCCCACCCATATAACTCTTATTACCACCGGTCTAGCATTATACAAACCTGGGGTATTTTTTTACGGCGGTGATTTTTACGAGGAAGCCTTACGCTTTTTCAACTGGGTGAATTATCTATTCTTCTTAGCTCAGTAGAAATCATGCAATAAAACAGACGCTCTTTCATTCATTCGCCTTATTCCATTCTCCTCACTCTAAGTATGTTTTAAAATAGTCCAGAATTTTCGCTCAGATGAGAGTTTAACCGTTGCTGACGGCGTTTTTCCCGTGATCCCTACATCGTGATGGATGCCGAACGAGCGGCCTGTACTTGTATGCGTTCACTCTGATACCAGACCTAGGCAGCATCAGCTAAGGTCTTTCTTCTCTGAACCGTCGGAAACTACCTTCAAAAAGACGAGGTGCGGGATAAGACAGCATCGGCTGACGAAGCTAAGTAGCTAAGCTACGTTTGCCGTACGCGTCTAATTTGCTCATGGTGGACGTTGCACTCGAAGCAAAAAAGCAGAGGCTCGGATAACACTTGAGAGAGAGTTTCCTTAAGACCACAGTGAGAAGTTACAATTGCAGCTGCGCGCGTTATTCTGGGAGCGCCGAATTATCAGTCAGCCAGCAGGCATATAGACCGCAACTTTTGGTGAGGTAAGATTAAAATGCTCCAGGTTGTTTTACCGGGGAGCATTATGCGTCAAGTGGCATTTGGTAGCAGTCTTCAGAGGCAAACCACGCCTCTATTTGCTCTCGCAGGTTTGAGGCCAATGTTCCAGCTCGTCCGCTATCTGATGTTTGGACTGAACGATTTTTACTCAGGTACCTCGCTGTTATCTTACATATCTGAGTGTGTACCCTCTAAGTGCAAGTACTACAATCGTCATGCCAAATCTCCAGC